TTGTTTCCTTGAGCTGTGCACTACCTTGTGCAACTTGGTGGAGCTTTGGGATTGATATTTGGCTCCAGAGCCCTACTCACAGCATACTGCAGATGTTATTATTATTATTGTTCTGTTTTTTTTCTTTTGGCCCATTGGCAGATAGGTCATCTTTTGAGTTCCTGAGAGCAAGTTGTGAAATTGTCTGAAATCCTTCCAACAGGAAAGCATTGATTTATTACACTGTAATACTGATGCGAACAACACCGTGCACCTTTCATCTAAAAAGTCAGGACTTATAGAACACGACATGCCATTAATTCTGATGCCAGCTCAAACGGAGGAGGAAATGCTGCCAAAGGGATCCAGACAGCATGTTAAACCAGCCCTGCAGAGTAATGAACACACTCTGTGCTGTTACATTATACAGTATTGATCCTTAGGAATGAAGAGGTACCTTGACAGCTAATTTGGGCCATCAAAAGCTTCTCTTAATATATGAGTATGCATATGTGTGTGTACTACCCAATTAGTGCAAACACTGGCTTCTCAGTATCCCCTGTCGGAGTGAGGATTGCTGCATTTCCCTGCTCTGGGGACAGGTTTCCCTTTGCACGTGGCTGGGAGCTCTCTTGGTAGCAGCCCAGTGCAGAGGATGCCCTGAGCCAGGAGCACTCCGGACAGTGATGACTCCCTGGGAGAGCTGTGCACCACCTTGACTTGTTTTTCTGCACAGGATGGAGATGGATGCACTGTGCTGCATGTCCTAAGCTACGAGCAGTCCCGTCCTGTGTCCTTCTGCCCTTCCCTGCGTGACTTGGAAGATGTATTCTTGAAGAGAAATGGGGTCACCATTCCTTTGTGACTCCTGCAAATCCATCCTGCCTATGCTAGTAAGAGATTGTCTTTTCTTTCTTTCAGCTTTCTCTTTCTTTTCAACCAGAATTTTGTTGTTGAGGATGAGGTCCCTGGCATTAGGACTGCTACATAGCTTAATCTTGGATTGCCATTTTTTCACCCAGGTTTCACATGTTATTTGTATGCATGGAATGTGCTTATCACAGCCACTGCCACCTTCTGCCATTCTTTCCCAACTCTGTTTGCAGCTGCGGCATTGAAGTGTGCACCACTCCTCTGAAGTCTCCTTGCTGCCCAGAAGTGTGATTGGTTGTGGGATCACTTCTATGTTGTGTCACAGAGCTATCCATAATACCACCACCATGTACATACATATGAGATCCTACCACACGTTGCAGTGCTGTAGGTGGGACTGACAGACGAAGGAGAGATGGGGATGGAAATAAAGGGGTGGTGCTGGAGCAACATGACCAACAGTTTCCTTGTAGCCCAAGCAGCTTTGGTATTAACATCTTTTGAGCTGGGATCTGCATGTGGATTTTGCCCTGCAAAGCCCTGCCCTGCTGCAGATCAGTGGGCTGCCATGAATGGCACAGTGACATCACTGCTTTTCTGTTAATTGATTACTGGCTACCAGAGATGCAGACATGAAGGCTTGTACCTGCAGCAGGCTGGCAAGCCACAAAACTATCAGTGATGTTTGGAAAATTGATCTGAGCCCATAGGTAACATAGAGGCAAAAGGGGTATCTGTAGATATCTGCAGCTACAACAGCCATCAAAGAACAGGCCACACAAGTCCCTGAAAGGTATTTGCAGTAAATCTGGTACACCTGCTGACAGAAAAGGCCTGAAGCCATCTACCCTACTATTTCCAAGGTGCTGCCTCAGAGCAATCTCCATGCCATGTTGGGGAATATCCCTACCCCACTGTGATGGGTCACTTGAGCTCTGACGTGCCTCTGTGCTACCAATGTATTAGAATCATGCATCAGGATGTTTAATGGCAACCACTGGGTTGCAGCCAATGTTGTTGTATATGCTCCTGCCCTATCCCTTCACTGAGCTTGGACAAGAGAGTTTTTTGTTGTGTTTGCTGACAAGTATATGCATGCACAAGCAAGTCGACACAAATCCTTTTGGATCACCCTAGCCTTGTGCCCTGGTGCTGAGATTCTGATCCCATAACAAAAGCATGGATTCGGTGATGTGTCTGTTCAGTATTCAGTGTTTTTGCAGGTTTTATTTTTGCTAAAGACTTTTTCATAAGGGATATTTGCTTTCGCCAAAAGGGAATTTTGTCTTGCTTTTGTCAAGAGATAATGGAAAATTTGTTGTGCATGTCTGCATTGTCACTGGGAATGAAGAGCAAACCACTGAAGGAGCAAGGAGAGCATTTTGAGATAAGGTTCAAGCCCATCATACAGTACTGGATGTCCAAACAAGTGCGGAAGACCAAAATGGGCTGATGCAGCATAGTCTGCCCATGGAAAACTTCTCTCTCAGGCCCCTTGATTTGGAGTTCCTTGTGCTTTGAAGCCTGAGGGTTCACAGTCCATTTCCATTAATTCTGGCCCTTGCTGATTCTCCTCCTAAAATTTACCAGTGGCTGAAACCCCCTTGGGAATGTTGGAGACCTTGAGTTTATAACCTCAGCCTGTGGGGTGAGCTGAGATGCCTGGCTGAAGGCATTTGGGTGTCTCAGCTTCCCCAGCCAACACACAGGAATGATGCCATGGGGAAGAGATGTCCTTCCACATTTGTGACACCAAGGGCTACCTCAGAGCGTGGCACTGGTGTAGCATTGGCATGAGTCAGTAGTTAGCATTGGCAGCTGTCTATGGTGCTTTAAATCCCACTCTCTTTCCCACTTCAGCAGACTTTTGAAAGAGGAATTAAGCAGGTCAATTGCATGAAAATTGAGTGAGAAACATCTTGAATGTCTGAGCTTCTGAAACAGCATGACAGCTCCCAGGAAAACCAATCCTGGTGTGGATTTTTGGACCAGTGCTGGTTCTGAATTCTCTCTCAGCTGACTAGAGCTTCCCTCTGTAAAAACAAGCTAAAATGCTGAAATTGCCCTCCTCGGAAAATAACGTCATAAAACTCTGAACAGTAAGTAAAATATTTAACTTTGAACCCAGTGAATGTTTAGCTTCCTGGCTCTTGGGAAAATATTAGATAGATTCCCAATTTCAACCTGAAGCAGTTTATTTGGCTGCTGTTCACAAGTAAGACACAGCAATAATGAAGGAAATTTTGTTTGATTCAGGTTGGGTAATATTGCCTGAGGGGTAACATCATTTTCACGTCCATACATCCAGCACTGGCACAAAACAGCGTGGACAGGTATGAAAAATGGATCATGGATCCTTGGTGCTAAAATTCCAGCTGATAGTTTCATTCTTGTATAAATAATAATTGCCAATACAAGTGTTGAAAAGAGAATGTGAAAATAAAAACACTGCTCAGTTCGTTAAAGCAAAATCCTTAGTAGAAGTGACAAAAGAAAAAGAAATAAAGGAAAATAAAATAAAAAGAGTTAAAACAAATATAGCTGGTAAATAAAAGATCCAGGTACCAAAGAGCAAAATTTAATGAAAGCCAAAACTGTTAAATATGGATTCCTGTTGAGAAAAAATGTCAATGTCTTTAAGAGTTTTACCATTACTCTATTTTTAAGAAAAGTGTAGTAAAAATACATATTACAAGTTAACATTTTTCCACGCTTTTGTCCTATTCCTCTTTTTTTTTTTTTTTTTTTTTTTTTTTTTAACCCCGTCGCTGATCAAAAGCCTTTGAAGACCGCATCCCACATCTTCATGTCACAGGTAGTCAGTCCTGGCATAGGCGCGCTGCTTCCCACAATGCCATCGATGTCTGCGTGCCCAGCTGGGCTCCCTGTGACCTGCCACCATGGTGATCATGTCTTTGGAGGAGGACAGAGCACTGAAGGGCTTGACAGCCTTCTCTGGGATGTGGCAAGATCTGAGACAGCAGATGACTCCGAGAGCTTTGGACATGGAAGCAGGCTAGCGCGAAGGATTGCTCCGACCATGTTAGTGCTTACATAGAACTGAAGTTAAAGTTAAGGAAAGTGGACTAAAAATAGTGATAATCAACACAGAGTGACTTGTAGAGGTGTTTGGAGCAGCTGATGACAGAACTCATGTTTGGTGATGAGAGATGAAGACCACAAGGGTTTCCAGCAGCAGAGAGCGGAAAACATGGCACTAGACATGCTGTGCCTGAGCTTCAGACCTTGATTCTTTGACTTGCTGGTGTCCAAAGCGTTGCAAGACAAGCAGGTAGATGGAACAGATGCTTTGGACCAGGCTGGTGTTAAAGGTGGTAAACGTATTGCTCTACAGAGTACACTAATGGAAACTGGTGTTCAGTCAGTTTCCAGCCCTATGGACAGCTGTATGGGCCAATCCTCCTCATAAACTTGTGCCAGTCATTTGCCTGTATAACTTCATGTTCGCTTCCCCTTTCTTCTTTTTCTGCTCCTCACTTGCTACGTTGCAGGAAGGGGGAAAAAAAAAAAAAAAAAAAAAAAAGGGAGAGAGAAAAAAGCAGTTCAGAACACTCCGATAGCAGCTCAGTCCCCGGGCAGATATTTGCTGAGTGAGAGAAGTTTTGAACTTTATGTGCCATCGGTGATGGGACAAGGCTGGGTGGGTTCACTGTGGTCCCTGCCCTGCAGATCTTCTCTTGCTCTAGATACTCCCATAGTGATTCTTCACTTCTGGGGAAGTTTCTCAGGCCCACCAGGATGGGAAGTGTCCATGCCAAAGATTCACAGAATTAATCTTTTGTGTGGTTCTGGAAAGCCATCCTTGTCCCTTTGATTCCTGTAGCTGGGCTCCCAGCTGCCTGTCCCTCAGTATGGGTTTCTGCAATACTGAGTTTGGTGTCAGCAATCTGCTTTCCTGGCTTGGGGATGCTTTCCCCTCGCTTAGGATACACGAGTGGAAATCTGCTACGTTTGGCATTGAAACCAGAGAACAGGCCACAGCTTGACAGGAAGGTTGAGTTTGACCAGCTCTGATGCAATCATATGTCATGAATGCTTGAATGAAGCTCTTATAGGATCTCCTTTATGTTTGTTTCAGCAGTTCCTTCCAGAAAGCCATTCTGGCCAACTGTCTAAAATATGTCCCTTTTCATTAGAAAAATGGCCATAAAGGGATTTCAGAGCAAACAGGCTGGGTTATTTCCATTGCAGCCCCATGACTTCTAGTGTGTTTTACTGGTTAATAGGCAGCCATCTAGAACTGGATGTCTTGAGATGATATTCCCGGCTCAAGGTGGCTCCCTTATGTGACCACCAAAAAGGGAGCATACACAGAAGCTAAGCAATGAAGAAAGGGTTCACAATTGCTTATTAGCCCCCAGTATCCTAGGCAGGAGAGTGGCATGTAAGGGGAATACTGCATTTATCTTCTCTCTTCCATAAACAGCAGCTACCACGATCTTAGACCAGCCACCTGCTCTAATATGCCATGCATGATGCTCTCCTCTCCAGGCACATAATTCTTTTCTTGGACTGCCACTCACCATCTCTGGAAGAATTAACACTTTATCATCAGGTTACCTGGGGTTTCCAAACTCACTCATATCTTTGCCTCTGTAAGACAGCCTCATATTCTTTTTCAGTTTCTTCTTGCGTCCAGTCCTTCCTGTTGCAGGGAGAGCCATTCGCAGCTCTGTCTGCCTTGTTGCAATAACTCCACACCCCAAATTCACAACAGAATCACGATAGACAAAAGGGGTCAATGTTGACACCCTGCTGGGAGTTCAACTTGTCATTCGTTGGAATTTCTTTTTGCTGTTAGTAGCTCAGATGTTACGGTTTGCATCCCAAACTAAACCAGATTAAAGGGCTGAGCAGGGAAAGGGGAAAGGACTGATGTTACCCTGACACCACAGGAATTAGTAAGAAAAAATGTATATATTGCACACACTAAGACTTATTAACAACCAAGTTAAAACAAAATGGCATAGTCCTCATTAGTGTTCCAGTGGTTCTTTGATCAGGGATGGTTCACGAGTCTGTTAAATCTCATTATGCTCTCCTTATTGCAGTACAGACCTGTTTCTGTTCTCCTGCCGGTGGATCTGTTTGCAAAAGAAAAAGGGAAATAGATTTGATTTCCTCGAGAAGATCCATCCAATTGTCCCTTCTGTCATCGTCATTTGTCTTGTTGGTGTTGGGTTTGTTTTTGGCTCTGGAGGGGGTGGAGTTGGGCTGTCCCTGCTCTCACCCAGGCAATGGGTCAAAAGGCCAATTATAATCCCGTGGCTCCCAGGGACATGCCAGTGCTGTGGCTCATGCACGGGATCGTCTGCATGGATTTGGGGAAATCGTGGCTGACCACACGTCCGTTTTCTCCACTGCCTCCTGCTGCAGCCGGCCTGGGAAGGGTTGATGTCCGTATGGCTTCGTTGATTGATTGCTGTGGGATTAAACAAAAACCCTTTTTAGGAAAGACGGGGGGGTCTCCCCCTGTCCTTAGCAATGTTGGAGAAATTACAATACAAAGAAATTGTGTTGTGCTTCTATCACTGTTCTCTCCTTCCCTGCCTTCATTCACTCTCACTTTCTGCATGTGCCTTCTGCACCTTCTCTGTTAATTCATACCTCTTTTACATTCAAAATTAAATGTTTCTGCAATAATTTGGAGTATAAAGCAAACGCGCCATGTGCAAAAACTATTCAAACTCTACAACATCAGAACAATCACACTGGATCTGCTCAGAGGTACTGTGCACTTTCTCCCATATATATGCTATTACTACTCCTGTACTGTTACATATGATGGGCTCTGACTCACTGCAAGCATATGTTTAACCTTCCACATGAGAGAACATGTGCCTTTGTTTTTGTCTGCAGAGATAACTGAGGTAGGGAATGCTAGGAAATGCAAACCTAATTCAGGAAACTAGTTCTCATCTTCCTGTTCCAGATACTGTCCAAAGCATTTGTTTTACCAAATCTAAGGAATCTCGTTTCTTAGAATTCTCAAACAAGAGATAAAGTTCTTTTGGTTTCTTTGCATTTATGGCTATTTTCATTTTTTATACCTTTTCTTGTCCTTGTGCTCTCACTGCCTGTAGAATTTCCTGAATCTCAATGTCAAAAAGAGTTATTGCACATTTTCAGTGAATGAGAAATGTTATTATTGCTGACAAAATGTTAAGCATGTTGTGAAACAGTGACATAAAGCCCAGAGGAATGATTGCTTATTTTCTTTTTGATTCTGGGTAAGTTTCAGTGCCCAGGGAAGTGAAAATCTCTCTAAATTTTATGAAACCTGCTGCATGCCTCCTATAACATACTGACTTCCATGCTCACGGAAAGTAAAAATTGGATGTGTTACTGTTACAGCTCAGATCCTGCTGCACCCTTCTGCACAATGGTATCCGTGTAAGGGATCACCTCTGCTAATCATCTGAGTCAAGATGTACTTGTTCCCCAGATGCTGCATTAAATGTGCATTCCCAAGGCTCTCAAATTTAATCCCTCTTGACAGGACACAAATTTAGGCACACCAGGAATTAGGACTGAAACAAATCTCTCAGGCCTTAGGAAGTACTATGCTGCTAGACCGTGACAGAATAGAGAAAAAGACATTTCAGGAGACATCAAAAGACAGTTTGTCCTTCTGAAAACCCGTAATTCTGACTTCGGAGATCCCACTTCACCTACCCAGGGTACCCAGGGTACCTATCTGGGAGAACGTTGTCCAACCAGGGTTCAAGGCTAGAAATCTGGCAAATGCTCTGAGCATCTGTCACTGCTGCCTACCTGCAAACAGTGCCAACAGGATGCCAGCAGAGGGAACAACAGGATCTGATTCATTATTACACTACCCCAGTTCTATCTTGCTGTTAACTGCTTGAGTTGGGGGATTTTTTTTACTGCAGTAAAGGCTGTATCACACCAACTCCAACACACTTCATCCATGCTGCACACACATTGCCATAGCCTGCTTTAAGGAATGGCAATGTGTTCCTGTTACCATTTGTGCTATGATTTCACTCTATATCTGGACTTTGAATGAGTATTATGCCACATGTCTGATCTTGCATCAGCTCATGGGTTAGGACTCATTTATCCTCTCTTAGCTTCCTCTGGTGCTCCTATTTCTTTCTAGCAAGTTAATAAGATCACTTCATTATCCCTATGTCTTTTCTTCCACCCGTGTTCTGGGCTACATCCGTCTCTGAAGGCAGCTTTGGAGCCAGGGTGCTGTCAGAGAGAAGGTGTGAAAGGCCTGGGAATGGGTTGCCACCTTCATCCGCTTTGATTCACTTCTGGACTTGTAACAAAACTCGATTAAGGCAACCAGCATGGCTAGTCCGAGCCCGCCGATGAGGATATAGAAAACCCCCGCCACATTGCTGAGACTCAGAGCGCTCGTCTTGTCCTGGAAGAGAAAGGAGAAGGGAGGGCATGTGGGAAAGAGAACAACAAAATTGATATGAGATTGTTCTGGTAGAGATGCTGTGCAAAATAGCAATGTTGGCATTACATCATCTCCCTCTTTAAGTGCGCACGTGACATTTCTAAGAACATTTTCAATTTTTAATTCAGTGTCTAGTAAATCTAACGCTTCCCTCGCACAAACAAATAAACATTTTTTCAGCAGTGTGACTTTTTGTAAAGGTTTGGGATCGCTGTTTTTCAATCATCTAACTTGAACGCTTATTCACCCAAAATGTCTGGTTTAAATTATTGATTAAAGGAGGAAAAAAGTTCTCTGCCTGTGTGACATTTGCTTGTCCCTGATGTCTTGCCTGAAATAACCTGTTCTCTTGGAAATGCTCATTCCTTCATTCCTAGATTGTTTCCCCCGCAAATTCTGTTGCTGAGCAACACATCGAAATGGCTGGGTTTTCTTTTTTTTTTTTTTTTATTCCTTTCCTCTCTAATATTGAGGTTGAGGTGACACCTGAGCCGTCCCTATAAACACACTCCATTTCTGTGTAAGAAGACAGTTATTTCATATGCAATCAAGAGCTGCTGATGCGTGTCTAAGCTAATTATTTGGTTTGCAATAAATAGGGCTATTAATGGACTGCTACTCACAGCCAGCATTTGTGTTCTGATTTTACAATGCCTAAATGGCTCTCTGGGGAAGAGGTGAGTCTCAGAATGACTCATTTCATCAGCAGGGAAACTGAGTCCCCACATCCAACCCAGACGTCACTCAGTGCCACTCTCAAAGTGTGGTCCATGCTGACCAGGTGGATTTGGGGCATTAGGATCACTCTGGGCAGTAGGACTCAAAAACTTGGCTCAGCTTCATGTGCCAGACTCTTGCTTCTAAGTTAGGCTTTCTCTTTATAGTCCACCAGGCTGAGGTGCCCTGCTCCGTGCTCCTTGTTGCTCTGCAATACTGACTCAATATGCAATTCCATTACAGCTTCCCCAGAGCAGGCCCAACAGATCAGAGCCAGTCTATTGGAGTAACCGGGGTTTGATCAGTGTTGACGGTCCCACTCACTGGATAAGGGAAGAAATCTGCATAAAGCTCTCTGGAGATGCAGATAAGGAATAATATGCATGACTCGTAGGCATTTCTGTCGTTGGAAATGAAGCCCTCGAGCAGTTCTTGGTGTTCCCCACTGCTCTGCAGAGATACAGACGGCTGGGTTGCAGAGCTTGTTCCTTACCCTTCTAGAACAGTAGATTCATTTTCTTTCCTTCTCAAGTTTTACAATAAGCAGCCCAAACTTTTTGGGAAGTACAATAGCAGAAAGCTATACTGGATCAACGTCAAAAAGGTCGAAAACCAAACACCAGTGTTTTCATGGACAGCTTTGGGTCAAGAGCAGTCTGTCAGGAGCCTACACTGTCCTTCAGGCAAGTATATTTTGTAAAGGATTCTGTCTTTCGAAGAATTAGGATCTGTTGACAAAAAGATTAGACCACAAAATATAGAAACATTCCAGATTTCAAAAAGCTGCCATAACAGAATAGAACATCTCAGGAATCTTTTTTTACTGCCTCTCCTTCACCTCATCCCATTATCCTGGTGGAGCTGCAAAGCCTTCTGTCTGTGTCCACATGGAGCACGTGTCATTGGTTCTAGTGCCACAAGGAGAAACCTTCCATTGTGAGCCTGCTGCTGAGCCCCCTGTGTTACAATGCTGCGGATGTGATGGTCTCCGCTGGTGGACAGCTTTGGTTCCTCTATTATGTAATGATCACACACCAGTCAGTTTGCAATCTTGTTGATGCTTCTTCTGTGCTCTCTCTAATGAGAGATTTCTGCAAATATCCTCTTAGTTTCTGCAGTTTTCCATATTTGAAGGGTAATATATCTGGTCTCTTATAATCTGCCTCCGTGTATTTTTTTTTTCTCCCAGTTTTGACGGTACTTTTGTTCAGCTATCTGTGTGCTGATTAGTAGGAAAAAAAACTTTTAAGCACCAGCAGAAAAATGTACAGAGTTTTTTTTTTTTAAGCAAAGATTTGGAAGAGCAGAGCAATTACTCTGAGAAAACTGGGTTACCACACATCATGTATTCTGCCTCTTCAAAGCCAGACCGAAGGGGCTGCATCAGCTTGAGGGAGGGACAAAACCCCTCGAGGTGTACTGCCCTCCTTGACATCCTAATCTTTAAAGCTGGTTCCTTAATGAAAAGTGGCTGATTAGCATGTACTTAGGGGGAAAGATGGGACTGAGAAGAAGGCAGAGTTGCCTATTTGTCTTAATAATAATTTTCAACCCATACTTCCAGCTTGATTTGATAGAGGGGTGGAGATGTTCAAGATACGAAGGATCTTCAAGCTCTGTGAAAAAGCTTTAGAAAAGAAAAAATGCATTAGTGCTCCCTCTCAAATAAAGTACCAGCACAACTGGCCATCAGGGTGATGGGTCACGGGTCTTTGACTTAAAGCCGTCCAACTTTGGAAAACCAGGCTTGATGAGAATACGAGTTTGAAGTTTTTCTGGCCACAATATTCTTGCAATCCCACCCCCAGTTTGTGAGTCATGGTCCAAACTAAGACATTCTCAACCAGATGTAAGGGTAGGAAGGTCTGGCAGCCAGAATTGGCTAGTTCTTCATGTCCACTTTCTTCCTGATGTCACATCAAACTGACTGGTAAATGACAGAAGATAGACCAAAGCAGTTGACTTCACCAGTATTTCACACAACTAATTTTAGGCCTGCTGTGAGGTACCTGCATTTGCTTTGCAGCAGCATAATTATTACCATTACCACCACTACTACTTGGATGATTTGGTTGAACTGAGTCTTCTCTCCCAGCAGTACAGAAGCCAAGTGAAGGCACAGCAGGGGGCAGACTTGCTGGGATGGGAAGAACAGCTATGTTTCTCTTCTACCACCACTATAAGGTTTCTTCCAATGCAGGTCTGGGAAGTGAAATCGTTCCTTGACTTTTTGCTCATCCTCTCCTTTTTCTATCTCTTTGTTCTCCTCTCCCAGCAGGACATGCAGAGGGGTTCTCTGGGTGGGAGCAGCATCTTGTTGCTTCCATCAGCTGCAGGACCAGACGCACACAAAGGGCAGGAGACGGTACACAGCACACTGAGGCTCTGTTTGTTGTTTTGTTCCTTCTCCAGCCCTAGCAGCGCTCCTAATTACAAGGTCCTAAATGATGCTAGCTGCCTGAGAGGACCCCCCTCCTCTTTGCTCGGGCTCTGACACCAGCTGCTCTCCTGTGGAGCTGCCCATCACCACCAGCTTGTCAGTGGGAGTGTAAAAATGTCACCACTTGTCTCCTGCATGGCAGAATGCTGACGTGTGGGTAAGATTGGCAAGTGAAAAGAGAAAGAAAAACCCAGCTTTCCGAAAGAGCGGCCTTGTTGCCACAGCAACCAGGCACCTTCCCGTCTGTTCCTCTCCAACGTGGCACCATGTCTTGTGAGCAATTATTTATCCTCCTTGGCTGGAAGTCATGAAGGCCAGATTTCCCCTGTTTCTCTCTGGGGCTGCTCCCTTTTTGTGCCTTGCACCCCCAGAACCTGCTGGCAGCATGTTGAGAGTGTTTACACCAAGTGCTGGACCACCCTTACTGGGGCAAGAGCTGGAGCTCAGTGATGAAGGACAGCACCAGCCACTGACCATTGGTATCTTGGTTCTGTAGGACAAGGCATGAGCACCTGCATGGCCAGCCATGGGGTGAGGCTGCCCAACAATGAAAAGACACATTTGCTGGAAGAATCAAGGCAGTAGCAGGGGGTGATCCCTATTGGTTTTTTAACAAAAGTTCAATTCTTGCAACTGAAGAAGAGGAGTGGGAGATCTCTGTGTCTTCAATGAAGATCTTTTTGATGAAGTCTGCACCTTGCAATCCTGATCTGGACAAAAAGCTTCCATTCTCCCATTGCCCTGCAAATGACTCGAGGAAGAATAGAATCTAACACATCTGACATTTTGTGTACACCTTGACATTACCCTCTAACAAATCAAGACAATCCTCTGAAGCCCACAGCAAATTTTATAGCCTGCAAGAAAAGCTGTCCATCATATGCTTGTGTTCAAAATGGGATCCTTTAAGGGAACTGCCTAAGTACAGGGCATCTGCTACAGGAACATGGCTGCCTGGCACAGGGCACTGACTGGGATTTCCCATCATCTGGTATTGCTGTGGTGGTCCTTGGTGACCACTGAACATGGCTGCCC